ATGCACCACAGGTATCCTACAGGCGCATCCTGTTTTGTAACTTAAAGGTGTGCACTACAGGTATCCTACAGGTGCATCCCATGTTGTAACTTACAGGTGTGCACTACAGGTAACCTTCAGGTGCACCCCATGTCGTAACTTACAGGTGTACACTACAGGTGCATCCCATGTTGTAACTTACAGGTGTGCAATTTACAGGTATCCTATAGGTGCATCCCATGTTGTAACTTACAGGTGTGCACTACAGGTATCCTACAGGTGCATCCCATGTTGTAACTTACAGGTGTGCACTACAGGTAACCTACAGGTGCATCCCATGTTGTAACTTAAAGGTGTGCACTACAGGTGCATCCGATGTTGTAACTTACAGGTGTGCACTACAGGTGCATCCCATGTTGTAACTTACAGGTGTGCACTACAGGTGCATCCGATGTTGTAACTTATAGGTATCCTACAGGTGCATCCCATGTTGTAACTTAACATGTATGCACCACAGGTATCCTACAGGCGCATCCTGTGTTGTAACTTACAGGTGTGCACTACAGGTATCCTACAGGTGCATCCCATATTTGTAACTTACAGGTGTGCACTACAGGTAACCTACAGGTGCATCCCATGTTGTAACTTACAGGTGTGCACTACAGGTGCATCCGATGTTGTAACTTATAGGTATCCTACAGGTGCATACCATGTTGTAACTTAACATGTATGCACCACAGGTATCCTACAGGCGCATCCTGTGTTGTAACTTACAGGTGTGCACTACAGGTATCCTACAGGTGCATCCCATGTTGTAACTTACAGGTGTGCACTACAGGTATCCTTCAGGTGCACCCCATGTCGTAACTTACAGGTGTACACTACAGGTGCATCCCATGTTGTAACTTACAGGTGTACACTACAGGTGCATCCCATGTTGTAACTTACAGGTGTACACTACGGGTGCATCCCATGTTGTAACTTACAGATGTGCACTACAGGTATCCTATAGGTGCATCCCATGTTGTAACTTACAGGTGTGCACTACAGGTATCCTACAGGTGCATCCCATGTTGTAACTTACAGGTGTGCACTACAGGTAACCTACAGGTGCATCCCATGTTGTAACTTACAGGTGTGCACTACAGGTGCATCCGATGTTGTAACTTACAGGTATCCTACAGGTGCATACCATGTTGTAACTTAACATGTATGCACCACAGGTATCCTACAGGCGCATCCCGTGTTGTAACTTACAGGTGTGCACTACAGGTATCCTACAGGTGCATCCCATGTTGTAACTTACAGGTGTGCACTACAGGTGCATCCCATGTTGTAACTTACAGGTATCCTACAGGTGCATACCATGTTGTAACTTAACATGTATGCACCACAGGTATCCTACAGGCGCATCCTGTGTTGTAACTTACAGGTGTGCACTACAGGTATCCTACAGGTGCATCCCATGTTGTAACTTACAGGTGTGCACTACAGGTATCCTACAGGTGCATCCCATGTTGTAACTTACAGGTGTGCACTACAGGTGCATCCGATGTTGTAACTTATAGGTATCCTACAGGTGCATACCATGTTGTAACTTTAACATGTATGCACCACAGGTATCCTACAGGCGCATCCTGTGTTGTAACTTACAGTGTGCACTACAGGTATCCTACAGGTGCATCCCATGTTGTAACTTACAGGTGTGCACTACAGGTAACCTACAGGTGCATCCCATGTTGTAACTTACAGGTGTGCACTACAGGTGCATCCGATGTTGTAACTTATAGGTATCCTACAGGTGCATACCATGTTGTAACTTAACTTGTATGCACCACAGGTATCCTACAGGCGCATCCTGTTTTGTAACTTAAAGGTGTGCACTACAGGTATCCTACAGGTGCATCCCATGTTGTAACTTACAGGTGTGCACTACAGGTAACCTTCAGGTGCACCCCATGTCGTAACTTACAGGTGTACACTACAGGTGCATCCCATGTTGTAACTTTACACAGGTGTGCACTACTGGGTATCCTATAGGTGCATCCCATGTTGTAACTTACAGGTGTGCACTACAGGTATCCTACAGGTGCATCCCATGTTGTAACTTACAGGTGTGCACTACAGGTAACCTACAGGTGCATCCCATGTTGTAACTTACAGGTGTGCACTACAGGTGCATCCGATGTTGTAACTTACAGGTGTGCACTACAGGTGCATCCGATGTTGTAACTTACAGGTGTGCACTACAGGTATCCTACAGGTGCATACCATGTTGTAACTTAACATGTATGCACCACAGGTATCCTACAGGCGCATCCCGTGTTGTAACTTACAGGTGTGCACTACAGGTATCCTACAGGTGCATCCCATGTTGTAACTTACAGGTGTGCACTACAGGTATCCTTCAGGTGCATCCCATGTTGTAACTTACAGGTGTACACTACAGGTGCATCCCATGTTGTAACTTACAGGTGTGCACTACAGGTATCCTACAGGTGCATCCCATGTTGTAACTTACAGGTGTGCACTACAGGTATCCTACAGGTGCATCCCATGTTGTAACTTACAGGTGTGCACTACAGGTATCCTACAGGTGCATCCCATGTTGTAACTTACAGGTGTGCACCACAGGTATCCTACAGGCGCATCCCATGTTGTAACTTACAGGTGTGCACTACAGGTATCCTACAGGTGCACCCCATGTTGTAACTTACAGGTGTACACTACAGGTGCATCCCATGTTGTAACTTACAGGTGTACACTACAGGTGCATCCCATGTTGTAACTTACAGGTGTGCACTACAGGTATCCTACAGGTGCATCCCATGTTGTAACTTACAGGTGTACACTACAGGTGCATCCCATGTTGTAACTTACAGGTGTACACTACAGGTGCATCCCATGTTGTAACTTACAGGTGTGCACTACAGGTATCCTACAGGTGCATCCCATGTTGTAACTTACAGGTGTGCACTACAGGTATCCTACAGGTGCACCCCATGTTGTAACTTACAGGTGTACACTACAGGTGCATCCCATGTTGTAACTTACAGGTGTACACTACAGGTGCATCCCATGTTGTAACTTACAGGTGTGCACTACAGGTATCCTACAGGTGCATCCCATGTTGTAACTTACAGGTGTGCACTACAGGTATCCTACAGGTGCATACCATGTTGTAACTTAACATGTATGCACCACAGGTATCCTACAGGCGCATCCCGTGTTGTAACTTACAGGTGTGCACTACAGGTATCCTACAGGTGCATCCCATGTTGTAACTTACAGGTGTGCACTACAGGTGCATCCCATGTTGTAACTTACAGGTATCCTACAGGTGCATACCATGTTGTAACTTAACATGTATGCACCACAGGTATCCTACAGGCGCATCCTGTGTTGTAACTTACAGGTGTGCACTACAGGTATCCTACAGGTGCATCCCATGTTGTAACTTACAGGTGTGCACTACAGGTATCCTTCAGGTGCACCCCATGTCGTAACTTACAGGTGTACACTACAGGTGCATCCCATGTTGTAACTTACAGGTGTGCACTACAGGTATCCTACAGGTGCATCCCATGTTGTAACTTACAGGTGTGCACTACAGGTATCCTACAGGTGCATCCCATGTTGTAACTTACAGGTGTGCACTACAGGTATCCTACAGGTGCATCCCATGTTGTAACTTACAGGTGTGCACTACAGGTGCATCCCATGTTGTAACTTACAGGTGTGCACTACAGGTGCATCCCATGTTGTAACTTACAGGTGTGCACTACAGGTATCCTACAGGTGCACCCCATGTTGTAACTTAACATGTATGCACCACAGGTATCCTACAGGCGCATCCCGTGTTGTAACTTACAGGTGTGCACTACAGGTATCCTACAGGTGCATCCCATGTTGTAACTTACAGGTGTGCACTACAGGTGCATCCCATGTTGTAACTTACAGGTGTGCACTACAGGTATCCTACAGGTGCATCCCATGTTGTAACTTACAGGTGTGCACTACAGGTATCCTACAGGTGCATCCCATGTTGTAACTTACAGGTGTGCACTACAGGTAACCTACAGGTGCATCCCATGTTGTAACTTACAGGTGTGCACCACAGGTATCCTACAGGCGCATCCCATGTTGTAACTTACAGGTGTGCACTACAGGTATCCTACAGGTGCACCCCATGTTGTAACTTACAGGTGTACACTACAGGTGCATCCCATGTTGTAACTTACAGGTGTACACTACAGGTGCATCCCATGTTGTAACTTACAGGTGTGCACTACAGGTATCCTACAGGTGCATCCCATGTTGTAACTTACAGGTGTACACTTACAGGTGCATCCCATGTTGTAACTTACAGGTGTACACTACAGGTGCATCCCATGTTGTAACTTACAGGTGTGCACTACAGGTATCCTACAGGTGCATCCCATGTTGTAACTTACAGGTGTGCACTACAGGTATCCTACAGGTGCACCCCATGTTGTAACTTACAGGTGTGCACTACAGGTGCATCCCATGTTGTAACTTACAGGTGTACACTACAGGTGCATCCCATGTTGTAACTTACAGGTGTGCACTACAGGTATCCTACAGGTGCATCCCATGTTGTAACTTACAGGTGTGCACTACAGGTATCCTACAGGTGCATACCATGTTGTAACTTAACATGTATGCACCACAGGTATCCTACAGGCGCATCCCGTGTTGTAACTTACAGGTGTGCACTACAGGTATCCTACAGGTGCATCCCATGTTGTAACTTACAGGTGTGCACTACAGGTATCCTACAGGTGCATCCCATGTAACTTACAGGTGTACACTACAGGTGCATCCCATGTTGTAACTTACAGGTGTGCACTACAGGTATCCTACAGGTGCATTCCATGTTGTAACTTACAGGTGTGCACTACAGGTATCCTACGGGTGCATCCCATGTTGTAACTTTACATGTATGCACCACAGGTATCCTATAAGTGTATCTTACTTGTGCACACTACAGGTGTACTTACGTAGTAGTGTTTCAAGATGTGCTCCATGTCAACAGTGGCTGACACCCCAGGGAGCTGATACATGTCACGGGTGTATCCCCACAGATTTGGGTAGTTCATAATCTGACGTCGGTTACACTGAAACAAAGTGTTTGTTTTTTGGGTTTAACTTATTTACAGATCTACACACATGAGGAACGAAACATATCAAAAATACATCATTCTGTCATCTCAAATTTTCTGGGTTTCAAAGTTCCAACAATGCTTGGAAGACATCAAAATCTGTTTTCTTCTTAAACCTGCCCTCATGCTGGTGCCATGATAAGACCGCGATGTGTATGGCCTGTCACCTTTTGGAAACAGGGATGGCAATTTTCCGCGGATCCATAGAGATCCGCCAATATTTTTCAAATTGATCAATTCTGCGAATCGTCTAAATCTGTTGAATCCCTTTAACCCCCCAATTTGAAGACATAATATTAAGTTTTCAGCTGCAAATTTATTTTCCTGTTGCCATCCCTGTGGACAGCTGAGTTAGTGAAATAGTATTTCTGTCACACATTTACTGATATTTATTGAAATCTTTCTTGACCATGTGAGTGTGCAGTTATGAAATATAATGAAATCTAGGCGAGTGAGTGAAAGGACTGCAATGGCATCTCATCAGGTGGGCCCTATGCTTGTTAACTTAAGTTACAAAAGTCATCAGAACCTTTCCTCCCACTTTTTTGGATGTTATGTGATCTAACTGACCATGTCAATACGAACAGATTTTACAGCTTGCAAGAGAAACTTCCAGTGAAGATGATCGTCACGATATGGCTGAAATATTGCCGATGTGACGTTAAATAATAACTCACTCACTCCAGTGAAGATGATGAAGAAGAATCAAGCAAAACGGAAGCACCATTCGATGTCAAAATAATTTTAAAAATAGATGATATAATTTATCAGCAGTTTCATTTGTCAGCAAAAATGTGATGTCAGCACACCCACCCCTTTAATAAACCAGTCACTAAGAATTATTTTTGTTGAAATGTGATTGCAGTTCCTATTGTGTGGTGACTGTAGGGAGTCCAGGATTTGTTTAAAAATAAAAAAAAAAAAAACCCCAAATTGATTGTCCCAAAAAATGTTTTAAAAAATAATTATGCTTCAGATGGGGAAAATATAAATTTTCTGCTACAAAAATTACACTGTAACAAGGAATTGTTTTGTTGAAAAAATTAGGATGCTACTTCTTATTAACAAATTATCTTGTCTCTATACAAGATCCCAGCCTGGTCGAGCAGAGATAATATAAGCAATGCAGACAATTTATGTCCCGAAAAATGGTGAATTACAAAATACTAGTCAGGACAATGTATATTTCCCTAGCTTTAGGTCATGGAAATAGTTATGGTGCTAAGTCATAACCTTAGAATGACATTAGGTCAGCCAATGAAAATACAGAACACCTTCACGGCACACAATAAAGACAAATAGTGAGTGACACTGACATGTGTAACTCAACAAAATGGAAAACAATGAATGCACTTCATCATTTGCCTTTATATTTATAGATCATATGTTTTTCAGGTAGACTGCGACCCGTGAAGGTCCGGGTTAGAATGAACCTGCAGTAACCCATGCTTGTCAAGAGGCGACTAACGGGATCGGGTGGTCAGGCTCGCTGGGATATGTCCTCGGCAATTGCGCAGATCGATGCTCATGCATATACTATATGGTACTATTAGTTGATGCAAATTTAGAACTAGTTTTAGTCACGATATGGTTGAAATATTGCCGATGTGACTTTAAATCTTAACTCACTCACTCACTAATAGTTGATGATGATTTTCATGGAGTAGCATGTACAATGTGAATGCTCATGCTGTCCATCACTGGATTGTCTGGTCCAGACTCGATTATTTACAGACCGCCGCCATATTGCTGGAATATTGCTGAGAGCGGCGTAAAACTAAACTCACTCACTCAAGTTGACTGCAGTATTTGGGGTCTCCAAACAGGAACGAATGTTAAAGTGAAACATAATAACATAACTTCGTCACACTCGGACTTGATTTAATCAATGTTTAAAAACACCACTGACAGTACGTTGTAACATATAATGATGTAGCATAATGAATAATCAACATTTTATGGTAATGCTCCAGCGATCAAAAAACTGCCGCCAAAACTATTTCCCTTTTAAATGGTGCTTATATCCATTGTTCGATGACGCCATGCAACCCCAGGCAACTTACCAATTACATAAACGACAGAAAAAAGCGGTTTACATTACTGTTGCACTTGGTCTTATGCATTATGGCCGAAATAAGTTACATATAACATCACAAGTGTAAAAGGTGAACCTGAGTTCACAGATTTGCTAGTGGAATATGCATAATGGCCAAAGCTATACTCCTTTAAACATATTTAAACACATTTATTTTGACTTCCTGTGCAGGTAAATCTTTACCTTGAAATGTGTGTGGTAGACATTGTCAAACCTGACAAGGCTTGTGAAGAGCCTGATGTCTGCCTCTGTGACCTGACTCCCCTGTCAAGTAGCGCTGTTTGCTGAGAATCTCTTCAGCCTGACACACAAAGTATATTACAGAATAAGTCTTACGATCATCCATGTTGAATATGGTCGTAAAATATCACATAACTGAACACTTCCAATATATTGTGCTGATGCCTGGTTTCGAACCCACAACCCTTCGCTCTCCAGCTTGATGGTTTTATCCACTAGGCTAGGAAGGATCACTGTGAAGAATGTGATGGTTTGTCAGTATGAACCATGTGTTCCTCACAAGACGGGGGAGTGCGTGAAGGACACAAGAGCGTGTGCAGAGCACGTGCATTAGCATGCATTGGCTGCCAGTCGCATCCCAGTTCATTTCAATAGTAAGTACCAAATATAAATATTATATCTAAAGCATATCTTCAGTCAGTTCATAAGTTGGGTCAAAACCTCCTCCTCGGTTTTGATCCTTCACTTTCGCACACTTGCCAGGAACATAAACAGATGATTCTACAAGTGTTTAATGTTTGTATTACATTTGTGAAATCTTCACTTGGTAGAATTATTATGATTTCACAAAATATAATAATATCAGGTTTACTGATTTTGTGACCTATAAAACCTAAATTAAGGACAATTTCTTAGAGCGGCATTTAAGAAGTTTGGGAGTACAATACTGACAATTTAATGGATAAGAACTTCTGTTACTTTATACAAATAAAAGCAGTTGCTATCAAACAATTTGTCATTATTCCAAATTAAGGAGGTGTCAAAATAAGTTTAAGATAAAAGAAATTAAACAAAAAAGTTACAAACATATTACTTCAATGTAATATCATATTTCATTAACTAGTACTTGATATTGTGACACACATGGTAAAAACTTAGTTAAATGCAGTTACAGAGCATTACCAACCAACACAATGAATGCTATATGCACAGGTTGCTATGGACCTGTCAAAACTTTGAATCTTTGAAGATGTAGAACAAATAATGAAATTGGAATGGCCTGTGTATTTCTTTATAGCACAACACGTTCATTCTTACACGGTCAAGTCCCTGGAAGACCTCAGTGATGGTGTTGTCGTAAGCCCCCTGGCTCTGGGCAAACCCACAGCGGTAGACTCCATTGTTGATCTGGCTGCAACATAGAGTGAGTGAGTTTAGTTTTACGCCGCGCTCAGCAACATTCCAGCTATATGGCGGCGGTCTGTAAATAATCAAGTCTGGACCAGACAATCCAGTGATGGACAGCATGAGCATTCACATTGTACATGCTACTCCATGAAAATCATCATCACCCCACCTAGCCATAAATTATGAATGGTCCCTAAATACAGCAAACAAATAAAGATTTAAAGGCACTATATCACACCACACCTCTCTCAAAATAAATTATTCATTTCACTCAATGCTACTAACTACATAGTACCATATAGTATATTCCCCCCAAAATATGTATTTAGATTACAATATAAAATTAAAAAGTTCAAATGATGCAAAATTGCATTAAATCGACTTTCACGCCCTCTACCAGCTAAACATTATTTCAAGTGAACCCCACAGAGTTACGTCCCTTGGAGCGCTCTTTACGAATATCTTACGTACAACTTGAAATGAAATGAAATGAAAGCCTTGCTCTGAAACTGGGTCTTGTAAGATTTGGTTGCCAATGTTTTGCTAAACAATTTTGATGTGGAAACAGAAATCTATTTTTTTGTTGAAAATTACCTTGAGTCATGTCATGATTTGGTGGAAAGGCCACCATCATGGACTGATTTGGATTTTCACTTTTTCACATGAAAAAACCCCAACACATCATGGACATGTACCACATTTTTGCATAGGGCATTGTTGTGTTTGGACATCTGGATGTGCTTTGCATTGATCTAGTTTGAAATTGTGTTCAAACAATTTTGCAATTTCAGTTTTAATGTGGTAAAATTTATTTTGGCCGTCAATTTGTGTGTCAAGTTTGATGCAGAAATACTGCCATTTTCAATCTAATTGTGAATACAAAATGCCCTTTAGAAAGTTGTCAAGTGCACCATATGTTATATTTGGGATTACATTTTCTATAAAAAAAAGTATAGATTCTAGTACTTTTGGGGTTGTGCCCCACTGAGGATTCAAACCCACACCCTCGGAGTAAGGCACCTATTTAGCAGCACACAAAGTCAGCCATCTAAAAGACTACACCATCTTGGCTGATACTATATATATAGTACTGTCGGAAATAGAAAAAAACTGTATTTTCTCATTTATCTCTACAATTTATGTAGTTGATATGTGCAAGTGTGAAATATCTCTTAAACTAAGTTCGGCCTAACTACAGTCTCAATGGTAGGGACACAAGAAACGTAGAAAAAGGACTTTACTGAGGAGAGATTAGTGCAGAAATGAGCAATGCGATTTTTTTCTAAGTCCAAAACGAATTATTTGGAACAGACCATGGCTGTATGCAAATTAGTGTGCGACGATATTGTATTATAAAGGACACTTTTTAAGTGACCAATTTGAAATTAGACCTAGCTTCATTATAAACGAAAGCTGGCGTAAAAAATAATAACTTTCATGCTGAAACTATTAAGGATGTAGCTACCATGGAGTCTCACTGTCACTATAAAAAGAAACAGATCGGAGGGTTCGTCTCAAAAGCAAAACCTGGACAGGTGTCGCAGACGATCGTTGGGGTCGGGCTTGGGAATAGAGATATCAGCTAAGATACGATAATCCTTTAGGGCAATTATACTGGGGAAGTACACGGCATGTCATAACAATTTACAAATAATATCCAGTCCTGTCGATCTTCGTGATCGGGTGGTCATGCCACCTATATATTTTGAGACATTTAATACGATGCGTTTCTATGGTTATCAGGTATCAAACTCTTTTACATATCTCAACATAAACTGTATGAAAGAAAGACACTTAAGCTGTTAATCAATAGATGAGGCATAGTCAACACACATGAAAAGCACAAAATATGGGTGCCTGTAGGCAGCACATGCATTTCATGCCAAGTGAGTCGACGGTCTGTCGTCATACCTGGCTGAGCGACCTAATTGCCATCTATAGTCTGATCTATTGTTTTCAGCAGCTATTCATATTTTTTCTAAGTTTTGCCCGATTTTACGAGTAAACATGTTTTTCTGGATATCCTATTACGCATCCCACTGAATGCCAAGTTAGGCCGAAGTGGGTTATTTCGACATATGCTATTTGCAGTTGTGTAAATTTTAGGGATACAGAGTTAGAGCCTAAAAACAGTTTTTTTCTATTTCCGACAGTACTTTAGGTAAGAGTTGTTGCTATGGAAATTCTAAAGATAACTTTTTCAAAATCCCACACTATCAAAATGCAACAGTTCACCACTCAGCCTGTTTTCTCTGAAATCATCGGTTCAATAGTTTGCCCGTAACAAAGTGAGTGAGTGAATGAGTGAGTTTGACTTTAACATCGCTTTTAACAGTATTCCAGTTAAATCACAGTGTCTCAGCTGATGAGGGAAGAATACCTGATGCAGGTCTTAGACAAAACTGCTTTGAAACACACCATGCTGACTAATCCAGAAACATAATTGGGTGAAATCATGTTTTAGTGTTCCAATTTTGAGGTTTTCCTAAAATAATAATCACAAAATGAAATAAATTTTAATACATTTTTGGTTACTAAAATTAAACTGATTCACCCAAAAGAATAAAAAAATAAAAATAGTTGTATACACTTCAGGTCATGTTGCCAGAGGGTGTCACACTTTTACTGTCAACCTTTGGACTCTTCCAAGTATCCTATGAAATCCCTCCATAGACTCTCCCATGCACAACACAATATTATCACAACATGATATACAACAGTGACAAGAACAGTCCACTACAACATAGGGGGAACAGGATGCCTGTACTTGATTTCTCAATCTCCATTGCCTCTTCTGATGACCTCTTTGAACTGAAAAAGTGTCAGCCTGTCCTGTGGCAATTTCACTGAACCCATGGTATGACATTTACACGACCTTGTGGCCATGAATGTCATCAGGCTGTGCTACACACCCCTGAGAACATAACACAGGTCAATGGTCTGTGGAACTGCTGCACTGGTTTGCCATGGTGGCAGAGGGCAGGTGCACTAAACATGAACTTGGACTGTACTGAGCCCATGGTGACCTGGGTCACCGACAGCTAAGAGTACATGTTGCACTGACCATTGGTGTCTGTGTCTGCTGCATCTCTTCAGGGACCTATTTACCTACTCTGTGAAGGTCACCTGACCTATAGCCGGACTTTGGCACAGAAACAGCACTTGTATAACTACAGCTGTACTGTTACATAATAATACATGCATGACACATTGTGTGAAGCCCATTTCTGGTTTCTCTGGCCATGACAATTGCTGGAACAATGGTAAAAGCTGCATCATACTCACTCACTCAGTTTGAGTTTAGATGCAGGTGTAAATGATACATACAAAAACTGAATGGTAACTAGAAAGTGTTTTTACTCATAAAAACAGATGTCTGCCCCTTCCCCCAATTCAACGCTGAGACCTCAACAGAAAAAAAAATTGAAACAGAAAAAAATAAAAAAGAAAGAAAAGTTCAAACCCCAAAAAGGCACATCTACATGAAATGGAGAGGCAGTATAGCAATTTGGTGAAGATGGGTCAATTAGTTTCAGAATTATGCTCCGGGAACAAGCTTTACCCTTTAAATAGACAAAGTCCAAATTGTTGCCATGAAAACAGAAAACAATATAATTGACAAAAAAATCTTGTCATTCTGGTCTATCTTTTCCCCAGTACCATAGATCTCAAATGCCTGGCAAAATCTCTGCAGGTTTGGCTTTAAAGTCACCACAGTAAACATTACCACCACTGCATTTTGATAATCAGCATCACAATAGTGAAAGCTTCACTCTGATACTGATTCTCAAGGGGCATTCACACGTCACAACTGTTTGGTGTTACATATTGGTATACATTTGCATGCAACATGGTGTTGACACAGCAGTGAGCTGTATTCTGTCTTGAGAATTTCAGGTTTCAGAACAGTAACCAAACCTGCTATCGGAATGTCATTACAATCATAAGCCTGTCATTTCAGTTTCCTCAGTGGAAAGGGCGTGTCGATGTCGATGACAATAATGATGAATTGTTGTCATTGTATGTACTTTTCAAAGTTCCTGCATTGACCTTCCTGTTTACAAATCTACATGTAAATATCACACATATCCAAATTTTGATCTGTGTCTATTCTTATTGTCAACAAACATACAACTTGTCCATGAACACAGTGTGCCTTGAGTGGTACAACTCACATCTATAGTTTGGCATGAAATGCATGCGGACCCGTTTTTTTGTAAATATCTCTTCATCCAATGATCCAATTGATCTCAAACTGTGCAAGTGGATGTTTTGTCAGACAACCTAATCACATTGTAAATCACCGATTTTATGCATTTGTATTAAAGAATCTGTCTATGTAACTGTCAACAAAATAAACAGCACAACGCAGACGGCTTGCGGAGGGAGGGAGCCAATGACCTGTAACAGCGGCAGTGTTGGGTTCATGATAGTTACTAGACTAAGGCTTAGTCTCTGAATATATATAATTTTGTTAGAAACAAACAAGCCCATTTATATTGAAAAGGAGCCCTAGGGAGACCAGAGATTCAGAACCTGAGGAAATCTAGACTTGCTTTATTTAGGGCTTTAGCACTGCAGAGAAGGCTTGGCAGTAGGGAAATTAATGTGGTTCAGGGACTGTGAGACAGACTAGATAGTTACCTGTGCACTGCACAGTGATAGACCGTTTGGATCATTCACATTGACTACTTCTAGCTGTCATCATGAAAGCTTATTCAGATGATGCTAAACGTTTAATTAGAAATGTGTTGAATTTTTTTTAAAAAGAGAGCAAACGTAGCAAACCGATTTATAAGGTGTCGGATTACATGAAACAAGAAAGTTAAAACACATCCTAGCAGAGGATCACGACATTAATGTTTCCAGGTTTATGCTAAGCAAACTACTGCTCAAATTTGGATACAAGTACAAGAAGGTAGCAAACCAGAAACTTGTAATGTGTGAGAGATCTGATATTGTGAAAATAAGGTGTAACTATCTGAGAGAAATTAAGCAGGCAAGAGAGGATGGGTTCGAACCTATATATCTGGATGAGACCTGGGTCAATGCAAACCATACTGCTGCCAGACAGTGGCTACCCACTGATCCCAGTGATGGTAGGAAAATACCAACAGGCAAAGGTGAACGTTTAATCGTTCTTCATGCTGGTTCCCACCGTGGATTCCTACCTGGGTGTGATCTGGTATTTCGGTCAAAGAGCACAGATGGTAGGGACTATCATACAGAAATGAACTCAACGGTTTTCACACAGTATGTTGAGGAACAATTGTTGCCAGCTCTGCCTTACAAAAGTCTTGTTGTCATGGACAATGCTCCCTATCAGTGTTCGAGATCCAAACAATAGGTGCCCAACTTCCAATACAAAGAAGTCAGATATGCAGCAATGGCTAACAAATAACAATATACAATTTTCAATTAAGGCCACTAAACCACAGTTGTACTTTTAGATTAAACCTAACAAACCTCCACCCACATATAACATTGACAACATGCTACGCCAACACCGCCATAAGGTCTTGAGATTACCACCGTACCACTGTGATCTCAACCCAATCAAACTTATCTGGGGAGACCTTAAAAGTACAGTGGCCCGGAAAAAAATCAATCATTCAAGTTGAATAATGTCAAGCACATTGTCAACACTGCTATATGTGACATTGACATTGCACGCTGGCATGCATGTGTTGAACATGTCAAGAAGGTGGAGAAAGAGTACTGGCTCAAAGATGGCTTGAAGGAGCAAACAGTTAATCCAGTTGTCATTCGTCTGGACATTGATGACTCCTCTGTGGAAGAATGGAGTGAACTTGATGAAGTTTAATTCTGTAATTATATTTACAGATAATAATAGTATCCAGCCAGATATGCTCAAAGAAATATGACTTCTTTTAACAATGACAGCACTGACTAATTCCAACGACTTATAGTGTAACATGAAACACTCATTTCACATAAAATTATCATGAAAATATAAATATTAACTATCTATATGCTTAAAGCTATTAGAAATGCATTGCTTAATTCGGAATGTGAACGACATCAAAACATAACACTTTTGTCTTCATTCTATCTTTTCTTCAATGAGTGTGCATGACTGTGTGTGCTTGTGTCCGAGGGAACGGGGCTTTAACAGTGGTTGAGTTCTAACCATTGGTGGTCCGATTAATGATTTAGTGTAAATATACTTTCTGTGTTCTTTAAATGCATTTCCATTTTAGGTACTGCATAAACAAAAATATGACATTAACATTACAAATATAAAGATTTTAACCTACAGAATAATTCTCACTAATGGGTTTTGTGGTTAATGTTGAACGACTCAGAGAAACAAACTCCGTATGATGGTTAACAGTTGGCACCCACCTTACCCTATTCACGACCAGTGACACCTCTTCATACCTGTCACGTGCATAGCTGACCTACATTGACGAACGTTGACCTTTATGACCCAACACTGCCGCTGTTACAGGTCATTGGCTCCCTCCCTCTGCAAGCCGTCTGCGTTCTGCTGTTTATTTTGTTGACAGTTACATAGACAGATTCTTTAATACAAATGCATAAAATCGGTGATTTACAATGTGATTAGGTTGTCTGACAAAACATCCACTTGCACAGTTTGAGATCGATTGGATCATTATTGGATGAAGAACACTGTATTTCCAAAAAACGGGTCCACATGCATTTCATGCCAAACTACAGCAAGTTTCATACATCAAAAGTTGGTCCGACTTGCACGTTCACACCATGCAACGTGTTCCATGCAACAAATTGTATACAACTAGTTGTACTATGTTAAGACCCTAAGCATGAAACAACAGCACTACTGAATACAAATTAAGCAATTCATAATCGAATGGCTCTGCATCACGTTAAACATTTGCTTGGATTCGTCCAAATAATAACAGACCATCAGAAAGTTATTTCTCTTAAGGAGATGATAAACATTTCAGAAGAGAAGTAGCCAGTAGGATGTATATAACATGGCATAGTCCACTTTGATGACAGATTCATATCCTGGTTGGATAATGGCCAACTAAGTGGACTGTTCCATCCTGTTTACAGGCCAGAGCTTGAGAACTCGGTGACATCTTTCCAACAGGGCACTTAACCTACATCTGCATCCAATGATACATAGCCGCAAATACCTGGCAGAATGGTTTCTTCCAAACTTGGACCAATCCTTCAACACTATAAAATCTTCAAACTTCTCGCCCCTATTACACAGTGGACTCTTCCTAGCAGTTTAAGAATAACTTCATTACTATAGTTACGTCAGTGACATACTTGTCACAGCAACTTTTATTTTTAACTTAACCAATTTGAATGTAATTGAGAATAGAATTCCATTTATAGAAATTCAAATTTCAGAATTTAATCACAAATTTAATAGCATATGTTCACAACATAAATGGATCCAAGTTTCTCTGAGTAGATTAACTACAGGGTGAAGATGATTTCCACACAGATGAGCAAATCTACAACAGGGAGATGCAGTAATAGTTTTCATACAGATTTGCTTTGCTGCACACATTAATTGCACTAAATATGCCAGGCAAATATACAGCTTTGGAAAACACTAATGCACACACATTATGTAAACATTTCCTTAATTCAAATCAAGAACCTGTTATCAGAGACCATATAAGACCATATAATACCATTATATGGTCTCTGCTGTTATACACATTGGAGGTGAGGTGAAATTGGGTTTAACGTTGTGCTTGAAAATATTTCGCTCATATGACGACGTGCATGCATGTGTATGTGTATGTGCGGCTGCTTGTACTAGCCCAGACTTAAGCTGGTTTTATAGTGCTAGCCCACTGAGATACCATGCCGCAGTGAAGCATGAATACCCCACTCAGACATGTTATACTGACTCAAAGCCGACCAGTCCTTTTGGTATGACGCGGTCGGGGATCGAATCCGTGACCTTCCGCTCTCCGGGCGGACGCTCTAACCACTACACCACGGAGGCGGTCATAAACACTGGAAGTCAACCAATATACATGTTCTGAAGCAACAGTGTTCACAAGCCCATATCAAAGGGTAGTTTCCATGCTAGACAACCTGCTTGCCTTCAGATGAGATGCCACTACACATATTATCTTTGTGAACATCAAAGTGTTTGCAGCTAAACATTTCATCTCATTCCAGAAATGTTAGACCTAATAAAAAAAATGTTGTTCCGATTACACCTCTATAAAATTTAGGGTAGGTAGGTAGGATTTTTTTAAAATATTTTTTTTCTTTAGAAGTAAAGTACAAACTAATAACACATTTATCAATGTGTAATTGTTTATTCAATCAAGCTTGAAGCCATCATGTCAACTTTCTCTATCAGAATGACCGATGTCTGTCGGTGCCGGGAAAAAACAGTGGTATCTAAAAGCTTATTTTGTTCATTCTGCTTTTAAAAATATTCAAGGCTCAGTTGGGTAATCGGAACCACAAGATTTCTTTTTTTAGGCCTTATCATTAAATTTGTTGATGAAATAATGTGATAATAGAAACGGACACTTCAATAAACAGGAATTGGTAATTCAAAATAGAACAACTTTAAACATCTAAATTTATCACATTTATACAATAGGCTTCCATGCAAAAAATACTGTTCAAATGTGACTGGAGTTACCAAGCTTTTCTGGTAAAAATATGTCCACTGTCTGCTTGATTTGTATCACAGACTTGATTCTCCTCGGTGGACAATGTGGGTAAATGTTTGGTGTTGTATCACAGACTTGATTCTCCTCGGTGGACAATGTGGGTAAATGTTTGGTGTTGTATCACAGACTTGATTCTCCTCGGTGGACAATGTGGGTAAATGTTTGGTGTTGTATCACAGACTTGATTCTCCTCGGTGGACAATGTGGGTAAATGTTTGGTGTTGTATCACAGACTTGATTCTCCTCGGTGGACAATGTGGGTACCGGTAAATGTTTGGTGTCACCGTTAGCCATGTACATGTCATCATTCTTAAAGGTGATGCAATCATTCCCACGACCCATCTCTTTTATCTCATTAAGTTTAGTTTCAATAATTATTTATTGTTAACTTTTATCTTTCTAGTTTATTTTACAATGAAACTGTGCTTTTTGCATTGCCTCAATATATAGCTGAAAAGATCGCAGTGGAGTGGTAATAGTTAGCTCAATAAAGGGACACAACTCATCACAGCTACTTGCAGTATTTTACACTACTAGTATTTGGACAAAAGTTTGAGTAACCATGGTCAGGGCTCCAGATAATTTTTCGACATCAGGAGTACATACTCCTTATGTTTTCAATATAGAAGTACTGGAAAAAGTTAAGAGTACATTTAGAGTACTGAATGGAATTTAATGGCATATCAGTAATCTTGTGTTTCGTTTCATATATGCACCACAACATTGCTACTCTTGTGTAAACAGGTCAATAAACAATAAAACAATACTTTTTTCAGATAAATACGTCTGTAAATGATTTTAAGACCGTACACCATTGTTGTGGTGCGTATCTGCTACGTTTTCTAAATTATTTCCTATCGTATCGTGCATATTTTCTATCTGTACATTCGCCGATACGGCCCTTATCTGGAGCCCTGATGGTAATATAAGAAAAAGTTTCACTCACGGGAACACCCATTCATTTACGCCATCAATGGCTGCCTGCAGTTCGGCTGGGTAGAAGTTCAGCTCCCGCTGTTCAGGCGTCTTACAGAATGCATTGAACTCTGTGTTGAACATTCTGATAATCTCACTGGACTCATTGTTGACGATTGTCTTCGACTGCTTGTCCCACAGAACAGGTACTGTGATTCTTCCTTGGTATTCTGAAACCAGGCTGCATTAATCATTCCTGCATTCACATATGGGGCTGGTAAAATCAGAACAGTGGTCTGGCAAGTGAACAAGAATGGAGATCATGTGACAAAAGTCAGCATTGTCTGATTGTTACCACACTTAGTGAATTTGGGCCCTAATTTCATTAAAGCAATTATTGAAGATATGAATTGTTTTACAAGTTTGAGATGTATGGACTACAGACTGCCCTTTTAAAGACGCTTTTAATAAAACTATCCAGTGACTCTTCTCTACTTTGATGCAGTCCATATCTTTTCCCTTGTATTGTATATGCCATATAACTGTTGTATCACAAACCTACCGCCTCACAAGTTCTCTGATATAATCTGACTACCACATATAACTGTTGTATCACAAACCTACCGCCTCACAAGTTCTCTGATATAATCTGACTACCACATATAACTGTTGTATCACAAACCTACCGCGCCTAACAAGTTCTCTCTGATATAATCTGACTACCACATATAACTGTTGTATCACAAACCTACCACCTCACAAGTTCTCTGATATAATCTGACTACCACATATAACTGTTGTATCACAAACCTACCGCCTCACAAGTTCTCTGATATAATCTGACTACGACATATAACTGTTGTATCACAAACCTACCGCCTCACAAGTTCTCTGATATAATCTGACTACGACATATAACTGTTGTATCACACACCTACCACCTCACAAGTTCTCTGATATAATCTGACTATGACATATAACTGTTGTATCCACAAACCTACCGCCTCACAAGTTCTCTGATATAATCTGACTACCACATATAACTGTTGTATCACAAACCTACCGCCTCACAAGTTCTCTGATATAATCTGACTACCACATATAACTGTTGTATCACAAACCTACCGCCTCACAAGTTCTCTGATATAATCTGACTACCACATATAACTGTTGTATCACAAACCTACCGCCTCACAAGTTCTCTGATATAATCTGACTACCACATATAACTGTTGTATCACAAACCTACCGCCTCACAAGTTCTCTGATATAATCTGACTACCACATATAACTGTTGTATCACAAACCTACCGCCTCACAAGTTCTCTGATATAATCTGACTACCACATATAACTGTTGTATCACAAACCTACCGCCTCCACAAGTTCTCTGATATAATCTGACTACCACATATAACTGTTGTATCACAAACCTACCACCTCACAAGTTCTCTGATATAATCTGACTACCACATATAACTGTTGTATCACAAACCTACCACCTCACAAGTTCTCTGATATAATCTGACTATGACATATAACTGTTGTATCACAAACCTACCACCTCACAAGTTCTCTGATATAATCTGACTACCACATATAACTGTTGTATCACACACCTACCACCTCACAAGTTCTCTGATATAATCTGACTATGACATATAACTGTTGTATCACAAACCTACCACCTCACAAGTTCTCTGATATAATCTGACTACCACATATAACTGTTGTATCACAAACCTACCGCCTCCACAAGTTCTCTGATATAATCTGACTACCACATATAACTGTTGTATCACAAACCTACCGCCTCACAAGTTCTCTGATATAATCTGACTACCACATATAACTGTTGTATCACAAACCTACCGCCTCCCAAGTTCTCTGATATAATCTGACTACCCACCACATATAACTGTTGTATCACAAACATACCACCTCACAAGTTCTCTGATATAATCTAACTACGACATATAACTGTTGTATCACAAACCTACCACCTCACAAGTTCTCTGATATAATCTGACTACCACATATAACTGTTGTATCACAAACCTACCGCCTAACAAGTTCTCTGATATAATCTGACTACCACATATAACTGTTGTATCACAAACCTACCGCCTCACAAGTTCTCTGATATAATCTGACTACGACATATAACTGTTGTATCACACACCTACCGCCTCACAAGTTCTCTGATATAATCTGACTACGACATATAACTGTTGTATCACAAACATACCGCCTCACAAGTTCTCTGATATAAGCTAACTACCACATATAACTGTTGTATCACAAACCTACCGGCTCACAAGTTCTCAGATATAATCTGACTACCACATATAACTGTTGTATCCACAAACCTACCGCCTCACAAGTTCTCTGATATAATCTGACTACCACATATAACTGTTGTATCACAAACCTACCACCTCACAAGTTCTCTGATATAATCTGACTACCACATATAACTGTTGTATCACAAACCTACCGCCTCACAAGTTCTCTGATATAATCTGACTATGACACATAACTGTTGTATCACAAACCTACCACCTCACAAGTTCTCTGATATAATCTGACTACCACATATAACTGTTGTATCACAAACCTACCGCCTCACAAGTTCTCTGATATAAGCTAACTACGACATATAACTGTCGTATCACACACCTACCACCTCACAAGTTCTCTGATATAATCTGACTATGACATATAACTGTTGTATCACAAACCTACCACCTCACAAGTTCTCTGATATAATCTGACTACCACATATAACTGTTGTATCACAAACCTACCGCCTCACAAGTTCTCTGATATAAGCTAACTACCACATATAACTGTTGTATCACAAACCTACCGCCCTCACAAGTTCTCTGATATAATCCGACTATGACATATAACTGTTGTATCACACACCTACCGCCTCACAAGTTCTCTGATATAATCTGATTACCACATATAACTGTTGTATCACAAACATACCGCCTCACAAGTTCTCTGATATAAGCTAACTCACCACATATAACTGTTGTATCACAAACCTACCGCCTCACAAGTTCTCCGATATAATCTGACTACCACATATAACTGTTGTATCACAAACCTACCGCCTCACAAGTTCTCTGATATAATCTGACTACCACATATAACTGTTGTATCACAAACCTACCACCTCACAAGTTCTCTGATATAATCTGACTATGACATATAACTGTCGTATCACACACCTACCGCCTCACAAGTTCTCTGATATAATCTGACTACCACATATAACTGTTGTATCACAAACCTACCACCTCACACAAAGTTCTCTGATATAATCTGACTATGACATATAACTGTTGTATCACAAACCTACCGCCTCACAAGTTCTCTGATATAATCTGACTACCACATATAACTGTTGTATCACAAACCTAACCACCTCGCAAGTTCTCTGATATAATCTGACTACAACATATAACTGTTGTATCACAAACCTACCGCCTCACAAGTTCTCTGATATAATCTGACTACCACATATAACTGTTGTATCACAAACCTACCGCCTCACAAGTTCTCTGATATAATCTGACTACCACATATAACTGTTGTATCACAAACCTACCACCTCACAAGTTCTCTGATATAATCTGACTACCACATATAACTGTTGTATCACAAACCTACCGCCTCACAAGTTCTCTGATATAATCTGACTACGACATATAACTGTTGTATCACACACCTACCGCCTCACAAGTTCTCTGATATAATCTGACTACGACATATAACTGTTGTATCACACACCTACCACCTCACAAGTTCTCTGATATAATCTGACTACGACATATAACTGTTGTATCACACACCTACCGCCTCACAAGTTCTCTGATATAATCTGTCACAGTGCATGTCAGATTATAATTATGAAACTGAACTGAAGACAGTGCAAGAGAGCATTGTTTAGAGTTCACCTATTTGGTGTGAGTGAAGGTGTAGCCTTGCATTAGTACATAGGTATGTTAGGAATGCTTCTTTCATAAGAGTTGTCTCCACTTTGCCATCACCCTCTTGCCAAGTTCAACCTTATTGAGACCAGATCTTAAAACATCTGATAAATCCTGCAAAAGAAGTCACTTAAGGTGAGCTTACCTATCAGTATCATGGCTTTCAGATGGTACTTGTCGGGATTTAAGCCCATTTACAGTGCTAACCTGCTAGCCACAATTCAACAAAGACACTCCATTCAGACATAATAAGTATCCCAAGCCTCACAGCAATTGTATCATAACCCCTTTAAGAGAGAGAGAGAGAAAGAGAGAGAGAGAGAGAGAGAGAGAGAGAGAGAGACAGAGAGAGAGAGAGAGAGACAGAGAGAGAGAGAGAGAGAGAGAGAGAGAGAGAGAGAGAGAGAGAGGAGGGAGGTTTTACGCTGCTTTTACAATATTCCAGCAATATCACCGTGGGATACACCAGATATGGGCTTCACACAATGTAAACATGTACAAAATCAAACCCGGGTCTTCAGCGTGACAAGCAGATGCTTTAACCATTAGGCTACCCCACCACCACTCCAGGTTGTAAGGTACAAGATACACCAGAGAAAGCTTGATGACGAGGAAGTGCATGATACTGACAAAACATTCCAGCTATACAATTTTATCATTTTTAAATATGTTGCAGACATTTGACACTGAAGATACTTTGAGATTATAAAATAAAATTTAGACAAAATAGGTTTGTTTCAATCTGTGTGTGTGCTTCTAATTGATCCCTGAGGATTTAGTAAAAGTAAGTTTTCATGACAATTTGTAAACCATATCAATATCAACAAAAATTACGTAAATTCTAATTACCTGGATCGGCTTTCAAGTAGATATCTCTAAGGTAGGTGGCCCCCATTCAGTGTGTCAAGTGTCAATTCTAATTACCTGGATCAGCTTTCAAGTAGATATCTCTAAGGTAGGTGGGCCCCATTCAGTGTGTCAAGTGTCAATTCTAATTACCTGGATCAGCTTTCTAAGTAGATATTCTAAGGTGGCCCCATTCAGTGTGTCAAGTGTCAATTCTAATTACCTGGATCAGCTTTCAAGTAGATATCTCTAAGGTAGGTGGCCCCATTCAGTGTGTCAAGTGTCAATTCTAATTACCTGGATCAGCTTCTTCAAGTAGATATCTCTAAGGTAGGTGGCCCCATTCAGTGTGTCAAGTGTCAATTCTAATTACCTGGATCGGCTTTCTTCAGGCAGATATCTCTAAGGTAGGTGTAATCTCCATTCAGTGTGTCAAGGTCAATTCCACGTACCTGGATCGGCTTTCAAGTAGATATCTCTAAGGTAGGTGGCCCCATTCAGTGTGTCAAGTGTCAATTCTAATTACCTGGATCAGCTTTCAAGTGGAGATATCTCTAAGGTAGGTGGCCCCATTCAGTGTGTCAAGTGTCAATTCTAATTACCTGGATCAGCTTTCAAGTAGATATCTCTAAGGTAGGTGGCCCCATTCAGTGTGTCAAGTGTCAATTCTAATTACCTGGATCAGCTTTCATCAAGTAGTATATCTCTAAGGTAGGTGGCCCCATTCAGTTATTGTCAGAGGCCGCGTCAATTTCTAATTACCTGGATCAGCTTTCAAGTAGATATCTCTAAGGTAGGTGGCCCCATTCAGTGTGTCAAGTGTCAATTCTAATTACCTGGATCAGCTTTCAAGTAGATATCTCTAAGGTAGGTGGCCCCATTCAGTGTGTCAAGTGTCAATTTAATTACCTGGATCGGCTTTCAAGTAGATATCTCTAAGGTAGGTGGCCCCATTCAGTGTGTCAAGTGTCAATTCTAATTACCTGGATCAGCTTTCAAGTAGATATCTCTAAGGTAGGTGGCCCCATTCAGTGTGTCAAGTGTCAATTCTAATTACCTGGATGGCATCATTCCTCGCCATAATCGCGGGTCTTGGGGTCCATGGATGACCCCCCGCGTTATTAGACACCCGCTATAAGTAACGATTACATAACGCGGAACAAAGGCCAAGTAAAATCGTATTTTCCATGGACATAACAAAACTGCTATTTCGTGTATTGTGCCCAGTCAAAACTATATCGTATTGTTGGAGGTGAAAAAAAACAAAACTTTGTAAATAAAAAATAGATGTATGTACATGAAACTTGCAATCAAACATCACAAGACATGATAATTCAATTGTTGTTCCTGTCACGCTACCTGTTATTCAACTAAGCCGGAAATAGCAATCAGCTGGGCACACATCGATGTTTTGGTCCAATGTACCGGTGATTCATTTAAAAACAATCCGAAAATATAACATCCAAGAATTTCTATTCCATTATCAGAATAATTGATATGTCAAGCAGTTATTCTAACAGAGATCTTATATATTGCTATCGTATAAGTATAATGCATGTTTTCTACGAACATATTTAACATAATAATAAGCATTGCTAAGCACTTTGGGTTACCTGGCTGGATACATTTTACGTAGGAGACAGTTTGACAAGTCACCGCTGACTTCCCGCGGTACGTGCCACTTTGATTGTAAAAACAAAATGTTGGCAATTAATTGTCAAATATGACTTCAACGAGTCAATAACGCGGGTCTTGGGGTCAATGGATGACAAGGCTGTAATCTGTTCGTGATTGCTGAGAAAACTGTGAAATTGGTGCTCTCGCGGTAGGCGCGAAAAACGGACCCTCACGAATGTGGTAAGCGGGTGTTGTATGGAATGAGGTAATGCCATTTTACTCACGGTTTCTCCGTTGTTATTGTAAACAGTTTTAATGAATGAAAATGGGATTGAATTTAATCAAATAAAATGTGTTTTCTGACATCATACATTCTCGGATGGCGGTGTATACCTGCGCAATTACGCGGTGTGTTGCATCATAGCAACCGTTGTAAGTACTCGGCTGATGGCATGTCTTTATGATAAAGTTATTACGATGTTTCGCTGTTCATCAATTATTATTGAAAAAGACCCTGTATGTTTTAAGCATCTTAAAAAACATGGATATATACGATAAACACTGTTAATTGCAATCCGCACTGAATTTCACTAGTTTACTACGTGATTAACCAGAGCTCAACAGCGGATTTGTTGATGTGCTATTTTCGATGACGTGAATATGTGTGATCACTGGGCAACTTGTTTTTATGGGAGCCACGGATTACCCCGCGGTTTAACCGAATCCGCGGTATCGCTAAGAGCGCTATTACCTGATCAGGGATGACTGTAGGTGGTCCCATTCAGTGTGTCAAGTGTCAATTCTAATTACCTGGATCAGCTTTCAAGTAGATATCTCTAAGGTAGGTGGCCCCATTCAGTGTGTCAAGTGTCAATTCTAATTACCTGGATCAGCTTTCAAGTAGATATATCTCTAAGGTAGGTGGCCCCATTCAGTGTGTCAAGTGTCAATTCTAATTACCTGGATCAGCTTTCAAGTAGATATCTCTAAGGTAGGTGGCCCCATTCAGTGTGTCAAGTGTCAATTCTAATTACCTGGATCGGCTTTCAAGTAGATATCTCTAAGGTAGGTGGCCCCATTCAGTGTGTCAAGTGTCAATTCTAATTACCTGGATCAGCCTTCAAGTAGATATCTCTAAGGTAGGTGGCCCCATTCAGTGTGTCAAGTGTCAATTCTAATTACCTGGATCAGCTTTTCAAGTAGATATCTCTAAGGTAGGTGGCCCCATTCAGTGTGTCAAGTGTCAATTCTAATTACCTGGATCAGCTTTCAAGTAGATATCTCTAAGGTAGGTGGCCCCATTCAGTGTGTCAAGTGTCAATTCTAATTACCTGGATCAGCTTTCAAGTAGATATCTCTAAGGTAGGTGGCCCCATTCAGTGTGTCAAGTGTCAATTCTAATTACCTGGATCAGCTTTCAAGTAGATATCTCTAAGGTAGGTGGCCCCATTCAGTGTGTCAAGTGTCAATTCTAATTACCTGGATCAGCTTTCAAGTAGATATCTCTAAGGTAGGTGGCCCCATTCAGTGTGTCAAGTGTCAATTCTAATTACCTGGATCAGCTTTCAAGTAGATATCTCTAAGGTAGGTGGCCCCATTCAGTGTGTCAAGTGTCAATTCTAATTACCTGGATCAGCTTTCAAGTAGATATCTCTAAGGGTGGGTGGCCCCATTCAGTGTGTCAAGTGTCAATTCTAATTACCTGGATCAGCTTTCAAGTAGATATCTCTAAGGTAGGTGGCCCCATTCAGTGTGTCAAGTGTCAATTCTAATTACCTGGATCAGCTTTTCAAGTAGAGATATCTCTAAGGTAGGTGGCCCCATTCAGTGTGTCAAGTGTCAATTCTAATTACCTGGATCAGCTTTCAAGTAGATATCTCTAAGGTAGGTGGCCCCATTCAGTGTGTCAAGTGTCAATTCTAATTACCTGGATCAGCTTTCAAGTAGATATCTCTAAGGTAGGTGGCCCCATTCAGTGTGTCAAGTGTCAATTCTAATTACCTGGATCAGCTTTCAAGTAGATTTCTCTAAGGTAGGTGGCCCCATTCAGTGTGTCAAGTGTCAATTCTAATTACCTGGATCAGCTTTCAAGTAGATATCTCTAAGGTAGGTGGCCCCATTCAGTGTGTCAAGTGTCAATTCTAATTACCTGGATCAGCTTTCAAGTAGATATCTCTAAGGTAGGTGGCCCCATTCAGTGTGTCAAGTGTCAATTCTAATTACCTGGATCAGCTTTCAAGTAGATATCTCTAAGGTAGGTGGCCCCATTCAGTGTGTCAAGTGTCAATTCTAATTACCTGGATCAGCTTTCAAGTAGATATCTCTAAGGTAGGTGGCCCCATTCAGTGTGTCAAGTGTCAATTCTAATTACCTGGATCAGCTTTCAAGTAGATATCTCTAAGGTAGGTGGCCCCATTCAGTGTGTCAAGTGTCAATTCTAATTACCTGGATCAGCTTTCAAGTAGATATCTCTAAGGTAGGTGGCCCCATTCAGTGTGTCAAGTGTCAATTCTAATTACCTGGATCAGCTTTCAAGTAGATATCTCTAAGGTAGGTGGCCCCATTCAGTGTGTCAAGTGTCAATTCTAATTACCTGGATCAGCTTTCAAGTAGATATCTCTAAGGTAGGTGGCCCCATTCAGTGTGTCAAGTGTCAATTCTAATTACCTGGATCAGCTTTCAAGTAGATATCTCTAAGGTAGGTGGCCCCATTCAGTGTGTCAAGTGTAAATTCTAATTACCTGGATCAGCTTTCAAGTAGATTTCTCTAAGGTAGGTGGGCCCCATTCAGTGTGTCAAGTGTCAATTCTAATTACCTGGATCAGCTTTCAAGTAGATATCTCTAAGGTAGGTGGCCCCATTCAGTGTGTCAAGTGTCAATTCTAATTACCTGGATCAGCTTTCAAGTAGATTTCTCTAAGGTAGGTGGCCCCATTCAGTGTGTCAAGTGTCAATTCTAATTACCTGGATCAGCTTTCAAGTAGATATCTCTAAGGTAGGTGGCCCCATTCAGTGTGTCAAGTGTCAATTCTAATTACCTGGATCAGCCTTCAAGTAGATATCTCTAAGGTAGGTGGCCCCATTCAGTGTGTCAAGTGTCAATTCTAATTACCTGGATCAGCTTTCAAGTAGATATCTCTAAGGTAGGTGGCCCCATTCAGTGTGTCAAGTGTCAATTCTAATTACCTGGATCAGCTTTCAAGTAGATATCTCTAAGGTAGGTGGCCCCATTCAGTGTGTCAAGTGTAAATTCTAATTACCTGGATCAGCTTTCAAGTAGATATCTCTAAGGTAGGTGGCCCCATTCAGTGTGTCAAGTGTCAATTCTAATTACCTGGATCAGCTTTCAAGTAGATTCTCTAAGGTAGGTGGGCCCCATTCAGTGTGTCAAGTGTCAATTCTAATTACCTGGAGATATCTCAGCATTCAAGTAGATAATTCTCAGCTTTAAGGTAGGTGGCCCCATTCAGTGTGTCAAGTGTCAATTCTAATTACCTGGATCAGCTTTCAAGTAGATTTCTCTAAGGTAGGTGGCCCCATTCAGTGTGTCAAGTGTCAATTCTAATTACCTGGATCAGCTTTCAAGTAGATATCTCTAAGGTAGGTGGCCCCATTCAGTGTGTCAAGTGTCAATTCTAATTACCTGGATCAGCTTTCAAGTAGATATCTCTAAGGTAGGTGGCCCCATTCAGTGTGTCAAGTGTCAATTCTAATTACCTGGATCAGCTTTCAAGTAGATATCTCTAAGGTAGGTGGCCCCATTCAGTGTGTCAAGTGTCAATTCTAATTACCTGGACCAGCTTTCAAGTAGATATCTCTAAGGTAGGTGGCCCCATTCAGTGTGTCAAGTGTCAATTCTAATTACCTGGATCAGCTTTCAAGTAGATGTCTCTAAGGTAGGTAGCCCCATTCAGTGTGTCAAAGTGTCAATTCTAATTACCTGGATCAGCTTTCAAGTAGATATCTCTAAGGTGGCCCCATTCAGTGTGTCAAGTGTCAATTCTAATTACCTGGATCAGCTTTCAAGTAGATGTCTCTAAGGTAGGTAGCCCCATTCCAGTGTGTCAAGTGTCAATTCTAATTACCTGGATCAGCTTTCAAGTAGATGTCTCTAAGGTAGGTGGCCCCATTCAGTGTGTCAAGTGTCAATTCTAATTACCTGGATCAGCTTTCAAGTAGATATCTCTAAGGTAGGTGGCCCCATTCAGTGTGTCAAGTGTCAATTCTAATTACCTGGATCAGCTTTCAAGTAGATATCTCTAAGGTAGGTGGCCCCATTCAGTGTGTCAAGTGTCAATTCTAATTACCTGGATCAGCTTTCAAGTAGATATCTCTAAGGTAGGTGGCCCCATTCAGTGTGTCAAGTGTCAATTCTAATTACCTGGATCAGCTTTCAAGTAGATGTCTCTAAGGTAGGTGGCCCCATTCAGTGTGTCAAGTGTCAATTCTAATTACCTGGATCAGCTTTCAAGTAGATATCTCTAAGGTAGGTGGCCCCCATTCAGTGTGTCAAGTGTCAATTCTAATTACCTGGATCAGCTTTCAAGTAGATATCTCTAAGGTAGGTGGCCCCATTCAGTGTGTCAAGTGTCAATTCTAATTACCTGGATCAGCTTTCAAGTAGATGTCTCTAAGGTAGGTAGTCCCATCCAGTGTGTCAAGTGTCAATTCTAATTACCTGGATCAGCTTTCAAGTAGATATCTCTAAGGTAGGTGGTCAGTGTGTCAAGTGTCAATTCTAATTACCTGGATCAGCTTTCAAGTAGATATCTCTAAGGTGTGGCCCCATTCAGTGTGTCAAGTGTCAATTCTAATTACCTGGATCGGCTTTCAAGTAGATATCTCTAAGGTAGGTGGCCCCATTCAGTGTGTCAAGTGTAAATTCTAATTACCTGGATCAGCTTTCAAGTAGATATCTCTAAGGTAGGTGGCCCCATTCAGTGTGTCAAGTGTCAATTCTAATTACCTGGATCAGCTTTCAAGTAGATATCTCTAAGGTAGGTGGCCCCATTCAGTGTGTGTCAAGTGAACATCCCGGCTTCTGTAAACAAACATGTGATGGAGCTGGAGTCATGTGGCATGGTCATGATAATTATAATAACAATCACAGACACATCAGTGTTGGATGTTTGAGTGTCTACACCATGTGACAAGCAGTTATTTCGAATAGGTTTTATTTCCAATTGGGTGTTCTGTATAGACAGTTAAGGCACTGGGAGTATATATTAACAATCCTATTGTGATACTAACCAATAAAATTGCTAAGGACAGAGGGTTTGTATGAATACAATATACTGTATCTGCATTGTATTACTGTTTTCTAGTAAATCAATAAACAAGCAAAATGTCTTACAACCTATACTGAGGATACCTCAACCTATATTGAGGAGGTCCCTGCCTGGCGCTCGACATTAATGGGTACAACAAGGACTGGTCAGCTCGGAGTCAGTATAATGTGTCTGAGTGGGGTATCCATGCTTCACTGCGGCATGGTATCTCAGTGGGCTAGCACTATAAAACCAGCTTAAGTCTGGGCTAGTACAAGCAGCCGCACATACACACACACACGCATGCACGTCGTCATATGAGCTGAAATATTCTCGCTAACGATGTTAAACCATTTCACCTCACTCACCTATAGTGAGGATAACCAAAGATACTTGTACTTTTGTATTTACTGTGATATGTTTTGTCACTACACTGTAATGGTATTAACCTTACCATCATTCATCAAGTACGCCAAGGGCAATAACCACAGTCAAGAAGCACAATAACAAACATCGGTATGAGTAACAGCTGCTTGTCAGTTTTATGAATTCATGTAAGTTTGGGACAAAATCTTGACAGAACAAACGC